TTTCAAGAGGCTGCTATTTGACTATTGTAGAACGCAGCCTACAAGATAGTGATGTATCAACAATAGCGTGGATTGGAAACTAGGCCTTTCCAACCACCAAGATATCGAGACTAGGCGGATCGGAAACTCGGCCTTTCCGACTACCTAGACCCTTAGATAATAAACAATAAACGAGCGGATTGGAAACTAGGCCTTTCCAACCGTCAACCGTCACGAAAGCGCGACTGGGTGTTGCCTATCATACCATTTGTTCCTCTGCCTAATGCGAGTTATTTTTGAGTAAGTCAACTGCCTCATGGCCCACATAATGCAATGAGTAATATACTCCACCATACCGTCAGCATCGAAAAAATTTAAGTTCGAGAAATCGCACTGCCTTAGTAAACTTGTTAAGTTCTCAGGGTTATATCTCTCCCAGGATATTACTTCTGCCTCCTTAGCAAGTGGGTTAAGTTTATTGACATTTAGTCGAAACATTATTGTTTCGTGGTCAGATATTCTATGATCCTCGACCTTTTGACATATAACTCGGTTATCATTGGAATACAACAAGTCAATACGTGTTTCCGAATGTTCCGTCACCCTCGTATTAAAATTTATTATTTATATTAAAGCATTATCGTAATTTACGGCTGATTTATAATTTATAACCAAATCATGCTCAAGTCGAGTAATTTCGTTTTGTAAAACATTACATTAAAACATAAATTACTTACCCCCCTATTATGGATTCGTACCATGCACCATAAAGGCATGCATTCTATTATTTTCTATTACGAATTGAGGTTGTCGTATGAAATCCTGTAGTAACAGTTTTGTTTTAAGTGCACGGCCATGGTTTAAACTCAGTTTAAACGCATATCTGTCTGGTTTAAACTAAGATCAGCCAATCAAATGCCAGCCAGCGGTTCGATTTAAACTCAGTTTACTTAATCTAAGTTTAAACTGGCCCTAAATAGATTAAAGCACATAAATATCACAAATTTCATTGAATACTTTATTATAGCAAGTAGTCACTATTTACTGCGTCAATTGTTCATTTGACTTAATAAAAGGCCTTCCCATACTACCCAACAAACATTTAGGTTTGAGCTCAACTTGAGGTTAAGTTGAGAACTAAGGTGTTTCTCAACAGTACCTCAAGGAAGGAGGATAAATAAACGTTCTCTGGTATTAGGTTTTTGCCAACAGCAATTTGCCAACAGGAAAACAGCTGGTTGGCATTTACGCAAATCACAAAATTGAATTTGATGGTTTGGAAGATAAAAATTACAAAATGCGACTAATTAAACTTGTAAGAAATAAGTAGTTATTTGTTTAATCAATAAACTGTGTCAGTATAACACTTTGCGATGACTTTTCGTACGTTTTAAATTTTACACTTTTGTATGTAAACAAAAATTATATCAGCTGTTCGTCTAACTTGCAAGTTTCTGCAAATTTTCTGTTCGCGTACTATTTTGGATATTTCTCTCTTGTGAGAGAACAGATGACATTTCGCCGAAATTTGGCAGTTGGTTGGTTTCTGCTGGAGATTTTAAACGAACGCACCTATTATTGCATCATACAATTAAGAATGTTCGATATTTCAGAAAGTATCGATATCATGAATCGATTTAATTCATTGAATGTAAAATCGATATGGCGATGTATCCGGCTGAACAATATCGATATTGAAAAAATCGATGTGAAAATCCTTATTCCAATTGAGTAGAATATTAGACCTTCCAATCAACTCACCTAATTGTGTTATTTCCATCTTTTATATTCACTGAGGATTGAAACAGCATGCCGGTCGACTCCAGCGGTTTCTCAAACTTAACAGCTAAATAAATCACACAAGCTGCTGATTAAACCTACTTTAGTATTTTCCCATACACTTTGTTGTGGATGAAAAATATATTTAAACTTAAATATCGATATTGTGAGTAAAGTATCGATGTCTTCGATATATCGACCTTGGAATATCGATTCAAAAAATCGATTATCGTGCCATGAAATATCGATATTCAGAATAATCGATACGATATCGAACATTCCTATTATAAGTTGCAAAAATACGCATTTCTCTCGAGCTATTTGAGCTAAAAAATAAAAAATAAAAAAGAGGCAAAATTACATATACATTAGCGTTTCTTTAATTATTATAGTTATTTTGGTATGAATTTCTCTTCTTTGTTTCTCAAGACGTCAAAATTATTGTCTGCATACGTCAAATCATTGTCCGATTATTGCCATTTTTAACTTTATTTTCGTTTCCGATGGTCATATTATTGCCTTTTTATAATCAGGCAATATTAAAAGAGAATTTTTCACCATCGAATAAACAGTGAGTTAGGTATTTGCAAATTATTTTTATTTGCAAATAGTTTACGTATAAACGTAGTAACAAATGGCTTGAAGCAAAGGGATATTTCGCTTGGTTTGTTAAGCCGCTTGTGTGGTGTATTTCGCCCTTAAGTGTCGATAACAAAAACCACTTGAATCGGCTATAATCAAATTCTGGGCACGAAATGTTCTGCGCACAATATAACCAGTAAACAACCTTCGGTGAATTTGGCGACTGCCTTCCTCGGGGATGAATATGCTAGGGATGAAATTATTGGTACATCCGCCTTCCAACCACGCAGGGCTGCTTTTATGAAACAAAAATAATTAACTCCAAATAGTTTCAAAAAGTATAGTGTAAAACGAAATTTATTGAATAATTCCACATAAAATGGTATACATAATTGACTCATTTTCTAAACGATTTAAATAAAACGCATTTCATCGCCTTTTTTGTGCAAACGGCATTTGCGAATTGATAGAAAAGTACTACGGATTGTAANTGCGTTCCCGTATGTCTGGACATTGTTCCATTTTTGAGAGCAAATTTTTCGCTTATTCTCTAATTACCGGATCCGGTCCGGGTTGTACGGGAAAGAACCTATTTTGGACAATTTTCAATACGAGATCACTCCTATTTATTTTCATATCCTGTTTCCTGGATCAACAGCTATTTCCTTAAGCCACCATCATTTATGTCACCACTCGATTCTCAATTATGCGATTGAATGAAAACACAAAAATTGTGGGCAAAAAGGTCATATTAGTTCCATACTGTGAAGAACATGTGCAAAAATATCATGAATGGATGAAATCACCAGAACTGCAGGAATTGACAGCTTCCGAACCTCTCACGCTTGAAGAAGAATATGCGATGCAACGCTGCTGGCGCGAAGATGAGGACAAATGTACATTTCTTGTATTATGTCGATCGGCTTATGAACAAACCGGCAACGAGATAGATGCTTTGGTTGGTGATACAAACCTTTTCTTGAGAGTAAACGATGAAGGTGAAGACAAGGATGGGAAACGTTCACAAGTGGCTGAAGCTGAAATTATGATAGCTGAACTAGAAGTTCGTGGAAAGGGCTACGGATGGGAAGCAATGCTATTGCTGATAAAATATGCACAACAAAATTTACAAATAAAAAAATTTGAAGCGAAAATTGGTGTAAAAAATGAAAAATCTTTGCGCATGTTTAATAAAATGCAATTTATGGAAATTGCACGATCATCGGTATTTAATGAAGTCACCTTGGAGCGAATAGTTGATGGGGAATGGATTAAATGGTTGGACGCACAAGTGACGCTCCATTGTGAGAAGTATAGATAAACTAAAAATATGCATTTGGCGCACTGTAATAGGATGTAAGTTTAAAAGATACCCTGTGCTCTGAAGTGCATCAAGCCAAAGCATCGGTCTGTTTTATTCCTAACCTATAAAAGTCCGATATGCGCAACCATGGTTAAATGCCGAATTGGATCTTAGTTCCGCAAATAAGGCTTTTAAAAGAGATTGATGCTTTGGCTTGATGCATTTCTGAGCACAGCTATTGATATAGAAAATGTAAGATCTTTAATTAAATGTGTACTACTAAATGATCCATGTATTTTGAATGGGTTTCCGACATCCCTTAATTCCCTGTCGGAAAAATCAACCAATTCTGATAAATGAATATAAAATTTGGGATTTACTGCAATAAACTTAATTTTTAACAAACATAAATCGTTATAAATTTTGTATATGTTGTATAATTTTTTAATGGCTCTATAGCTTTATGCTGGGCCAAACCGGAAATGTTTACTTACTTGCACAACGATTTTGGGGTGGGGCAGGAGGGGGAGGGAGCGTGGCCCCCCAAACCCTTCCTAAACGAAAGAGGATGGACGCGGCTTTATGAAAAGTCATAACTTTTTCTCGTTCAAATAAGCGACTGTGAATATTTTAAGTCGCTCATCCTTCTACAACTGTTTGTTTTTAGAAGGCTGAGAAAACGACATTGGTAATACCATGGATAGTCGTTAATCGACTAAGGGCCGGTTACTCCATGTCTGGTTAACACTAATCTGCGGTTAAACATCGTTATCGACTCCATGCATATAACAGGGAGTCGGTAACGTCGTTAACTATGTTTAGCCGGAGATTAGTGTTAACCTAAGGGCCGGTTGTTCAATGTCTGGTTATCACTACCACTACACTATCGACAATTTCGACATCATGCATGTAACATGTGATCGATAAAGCAGTAGTTGTGCTTAACCGGAGCTTCTACCTCCGATTTGTGCTAATCAGACATTGAACAACCGGCCCTAAGAGTTGTTTATCTACCACTAGTCAACACTCGCAATAGGGATGAAAATCTTTAACGGCCTACAAGTTTTTTGTGAGAATGCGCTCAAGGAAAGGTTAGTTAACCTTCAAAAATATTGACGTCTCCGTGTGTAAACTGATGTTAATATTTCCTATTATTTTTTTCCAGTTCAAGCATTAAAACCCATTTAAAGTGAAAAATTTAAACAATATTTTTTACTTTATTCTTTTTTGGTTAATCACACATTCCTAAAAATAATTTGAAACACTCAAAAAATGGTTGCCTTGTCGAAACTATAAAAACAAAGCCATCAACATTCACTATGGTGACAAAGAGAAGTCCATAAAAAATAAAAATGTGTACAATCTCGAATTTTACGATTTCTTAACGGTAATTTCACAGTTTAAAAGTTACATGCCAGATTTTTTTTTTATAAAATATAAATTTATTTTTTTAGAACATGTTTATGCTTCTTTAGCATTTTTGATTGCATTTTTCTTTTTAATAGTTATTGCATTTTAATGAGAGGGGTACATGACAGTAAACAGATTAAAATTAAAGACATAAGTTTCCAATATGATGATTCTACGGCTTTGCAAAATTTTTTCGTGTAATCATCATTATAATCTTTCAAAACAGACAAACATAAACCGCCGCCGCCTTTCTTGCTTTATCCGTCTAACTTAAATACAACTCGAAAATTCACTTGTAAGACTAAAAAAATAAGAAACAGGAAAATGTGATGATTCAAAATGGCCGTTGCCCATAATTTCCTCTCCTTACTTTCTGACTCACAGTCAAGAATTGAGCTGAACTTTAGTTATTTACTGAACTTGTTTGAACGTATTAATTTTTTTGTTTTTAATCTTGGATTTTGGCTGATGAATAACTGATTTTAAGCCATCGCACGCGGCCCATCGATGGGCATTGCATGCAACACTTCATCCAATAGCTGTAAGGCGCGATGAAGATGCACCTCTATCCAACAAGGTGTCTCCTTGATCGATTGTCTTGGATAATCAGGTCCCCAGCCTTTGACAAAACTTAAGCGTAAAATACACAAGCGGCGCAAATCATCAACTCCGATTCCTGCGGCTGCAGTAATATCTACAAAATAGATTTATTTTAAATTTTTTGAAATAAGATGCGTTTAAAAGAGGAATTTTATTAACAATTGTGGGTGCATCACAAGTGGTCTTCATGAAAGCTCCGCAACTTTACATAGCTCTATTTTTGCGAGCTTACATAAAATGTTTCAATGAATACCAAATTAAGGATACTCTCGAAATGTTTTTATATAAAAAGTTGTGCTAATAATCGTCATTACATTTACGAAATTGCAAGTTTTCGAGCTTTAAGGACTACCCTTGTGTATCTCCTGCACTCACTTCGTGGCGCACCGCCTATTTGTGAGCTAGGCAGTCCCGCGACGGCAGCTGCTTGTGCGGCAGCCGCTGCTTGTGCATTTGTCGCTAACGAATGCATCTGTTGATGGCACTGACGCAAATCAAAAACCTGCAGGGCAAGAGTAATTCTTGAGAATTTTGTTTCGTAAATTTGTTTGTATTTTAATTAGCACACCTTAATGCAGGCAACTGGATAAATTTTATGCACAGCATCGCCTGGAGTACGGCCAGCCTCACGATCGAGATAGTAACTTTGTACGAATACCGAATTATCGCTGAGACAGCGTAACCAAACGTCACCCTCACCTCGTAGATCAAGTTGAACTCCTTTACCAATATGAAGCCTATGAAATATTAAACAAAGTCCAATTGCAAAAAATTCACTTCTTTTAAATATGCATATTGGACCTACCTTGCGCGCTCCGATTGCTCTGTACGGTGTACGTTACTGAGTGCACCAAGACAAAAGCGATTACCGCCAGAAGGGTCAACATAACCGTCGATAATAACATTTGGCTTGGCTGATGGTACCTTGAACGTTTCGCCCACCTGCGTATCCAACTCAAAGTAAGCAATTGAACACCAATATTCTGGGGCTGGTTGACGAGACAGCATACGGGGTTGTTGCTGTTGTTGTTGATTACCACTCATATCTCCACTTAACGGTGCATTCCCTGTAAATGTCAAATGCAATTGAGAAGCGAAATTTAATTATGGATTTTTGTTTTAACTTACAATAACCTGTGGGATGTGCGCGTGGATCTGGCGGCTGCATTGACTGTGTGTAGGTGAGCGTACTTGACCCAGTCCATGTGCCGCCGGCACCTACTGTACCACCGGATACAACTTGGCCACCGGCATTGGCTTGCGAAGCTGACTGTGCACCACTACCACCAGCACCACTAGCACCAGATACTTGTTGAACGTAGTTTGCTGGCGCACCACCGCCCGTTACGTAACCGTTTTGTTGTAAATGTGGTGAATGAGGCTGTTGTACGCCACCGCCTGGTCCAGCGCTATTTAATGCAGCATTAAACTTGGCCTCTGCCACGTTGGGCATCTGTGATGTGGTTGGTGGTCCGTAGTATGTGCCTTGGTTTGACGCAGTCGTATTTGCTGCGCCGCCAGCATTTACACCGACGCCGCCACTTCCACCACCACTAGCGTTCTGCACCTGCTGCAACGCGTCTGTAGGTGAGTTGGCTTGAGAATGATGACCAGCACCAGCTAAAATGTTACCATTCGGACCGTTGCCTTGTGTATTCTGTAGTTGAGGCGGGGGAGGTGGGCCCATAACTGGGCCGCCGGGGTTCATTGGTCCAGCCAAAGGCATTCCATGTGCAACAGCTGTAATTTAATTAACGACAGGATTCCATTACTTCTAGATTAAATAAAACATATACAGTTGTCCACAAAATAATAGGAGTGGGATATTTTAACGTGTTTTGGCTATTTGTCTTTAGTTTATTTAATGTTTCGTATTTTTTTGTAAAAGCCTAGCTGGTAATACAACAAACACCATATAAATTTACATTTTCAAGTTTGTACAAAAATTATAAAAATTCTGCAAATTTTCACCAAAATTTCAAACTATTTAACCAGAATCTTTAGAAAATATGTTGGTATGCAGTTTTGTAGCCCATTCAATTCTAGTCTGAAGAAGTGCAAGTTTCAAGCTGCTA